ATTTCAGCAGGGTTTGGCTGAGACCAGACCATCTAAGGCAGTGATTCTGAAGCCAGAGGGCAAAACCCCCAGGAGGGCAGAGTAGAGGTTCTGGAGGATGTGTGGACCTGGAAGGAGCACTAAGACAGGCTGCATATCCCAATGGTCAAGGGCATGGGCTTTGAAGCCAGACTCCCCAGGTTCAAATCCCAGCCTGACCACTTACTAGCTGAGAGCACTGGGCATGTTCTTTCATCTCTCCTGGCACCTACCTCATCAGGTTGTTATAGGAATTAAATGAATTAAAGCTCTGAGAGCTTTCTATATATTATATTAATATTATATAATATTAATATATTAATATATATTAATCCCAACACCTAGGCAGTGCTACGTATGTGTTTATTGAATAAGATAAACAGGCTGAGGGAAATAGGAGATGACTCCTATCTCATGGTATAAGATACCGTAATATCCAGGTTCATGGAGGTGGGGGCCAGGGATGAGATGTTTCTATTACTTTTAAAGAGTTTAGATTTTTTATTTTTTTAATATTTATTCATTTATTTTGGGGGGCAGGTATGAGGGGCAGAGGGAGAGGGAGAGAGAATCTTAAGCAGACTCCCCTGAGCCCAATTCAGGGCTCGATCCCAGGACCCCAAGATCATGACTTGAGCCAAAATCAAGAGTTGGATGCTCAACCAACTGAGCAGCCCAGGTGCCCCTAATAGAGTTTAGATTTTTTTTTAAAAGTTGGAGCTTATTGATTTAGGGTCCCAGGGAAAGTAGAAGGACTATTCAGCAACATGCTAGAGCAGCGGTACACGGCAAAGCCAGGGCCTTGCGATCCAGGGTGGGGCAGGGTGAACCAGGAACTCTAGAAACTCCTACATTGTGGTCTCTACCAAAGCTTTCAAAATTCACACTCAGAAATAGCTGAAATCATGTAGTCCACACCCGACCCACTGAGCAGGAAAAGGATCATGCTGAGGGCCAAGAGAAGGGCCTTGTCCAAGGTCACAGAGCTGGCTGGTGTGGGGAACAGAGCAAGAACCAAGAGCTGTTGGAGCTGAGGCATCTTCTGGTCCCACCCCAGGTAGCCTGGGAGTCTAGGTCTCGGCCTGGTTAAAAGAACTGCCACGCTGGCTCCAGCCAAGGGTGCTCCCGAGCAGCACCTGCCACCAAAGCTCTGGCAGTCCCTAGAAGCCCCAGGCCCAATTTCTTCTTTCAGAAGTGGGGATTGGGGGTCCTCACCTCCTACGTTTTCGCACCCAGAAGTGGTTCCTGGCGGGGGCACTAGTCCAGAAGAAGCTGCTCAAGAAGTCCCACAGTGTCCCCTGTTTCATCCGGACCGATTCCAGGTTCCTGACTCAAGCCAACAACAGTCCCTGAAACAGGTATACTAGGGAAATAGGTAGATGCCCAAATCTCAGTGGCTCAGTGCAATCCAAATCCAAACTGTGTGCACCCGTCCACACGGGAGGGCTCTCCTCCAAGCAGGGATTTGGAGACCCAGGCTCCTTCCTCCTTGTAACTCTGCCACCTTCAACCCATGGCCCCCAGGATACCACAATTGGCTGCTTCAAGCCAACAGAGGGGAAGGCCCAGGGGGCATGACCCCCAGAGCTTTTTGTGGGCTTATTCCTTTTATCTACCATCTGCTGGCCAGATTTAGCCACATGGCCACACCTGGCCATATCAGAAGCTGAGAGGTATAGTTTAGCTGTCTGCCCAGAAACTGGAATGGGCTTTGGTAGACACACGGGCCCTCTGCTCCAATCCATCTTATAGTTTTGCTGCGTGGCACTGAATGATCCTGGTCTGGAGCTCCAGCTTAAGTCAGTGACCTGCTCTGCCCAGGTGACTTCTAAGGGAATCTGATGGCCCTCCGTGTCCAGGCAGTGACACGCAGGGAGGAGTGACAGGGACAGACTGTTCTAGACCGGGAACTCACTGAGGGCAAGAACTGCACAGCGCTCCCTGCGGCATCCCCAGCACTCCCTGCACTCGGCCGGCCCGGCACAGTCACCCCCCACTTGCCCGCTGACTGGGGAGGAGGGGAGGAGTAGGGTGCCAGGTGTGAGTCGTTTCACAGGAACACCACAGTGTGACTCACTGGAGCCTCTCGCCTGGGATCCCCAGGTCCACTTTACGGGGGGGGGGGGGGTGGGGGGGGGGGGCAGGGGGGAAGCCAGGAGAAGGGAACAGCCAGAGCCTTCTCCCGCTCTGTGCCCACGTCAGAGGCAGACTCTCAGCTTGTCTGTGTGGGAAGGAAGCAGCAGCTGTTTCCATTTTATTTCATCTTCATCACGAACTCTGTCCCACAGACATGAGAAGCCACAGGATAAACGCGCTCCCTCCCCCACCGCAGTCTCAACTGCAGGAGCCCCAAGAAAGTGGCCATGGGAATACCCGTGACTTCAGGGGACGGACAAAGGCTCCCCGGAAGGGGCCAGCAGGGGAAAGAACAAGAAGCAAGGACAGCTATCGGTTTGCTTTGTGACCTTGAGCAAGTGACAGATTCTGTGTCTCTAGTTTTCCCCGTCTGTCAAATAGAGATAATAAAGGCTGTTCTGAAGTTCGAATGAGATAATCAATGTTTAAATGGCTCTGGAAAGTACAACACTTTACATGGGACTGTAAGGTGTTATTATCCACTCACCACCACCACCACCACCACCACCACCCCCCCGCCTCTCCAGCAAATTCAGATGTTTGATAACAATTACAATCTTGGCTAGGGCTCTGTCTTGATGAAGGGAAGCAAGGCAGCGGCCTCCACATTTAAGAGATGGGGACTGAGGCATGAACCTGGGCCAGACACAGGCCGGGTATGTTCTGGGACACGAGCTTTAATCAAGGAATATCTGCGTGTGAAACAAAGAACTGTGATCCACAAGGGACTTCCACCGAATTCACCAGAAGCTGGCTCTTGCAGAATCAGATGTTGGAAGTATGTTGGAAGTGTGAGGAATACAGTAAAAAAAAAAAAAAAAATCACAGAATTCTACAGTTGGCCAGGACCCCGGTCCTTGGGGGAAGTGATCTAGTTCTCAAGTAAAAGTGCAAAACCAACTCAGTTTCCCACTTGACCTGTGAAAGGCAAAACAGGTTCATGTCTATCATCACTGACTCTGTTCGGGACCCTTCAGCAAATCACTTGTCCGCCCTGTACCCCAGCATCCTTCTCCGCAGAGAACTACCGAATGGGAAAGGACCCTGGTAACTAAAAGACACTGTCCAAATGAAAGGTACTTCTTGCTGTCGACGATCAAGTTTCTTCCCCATGAATCACCTGCAGTGTTCTCAGATTCTCTCACACACAGAAGACAGCTGGAATCTAATTCAATGTGGTGGGGCCAACCTGTCCTGCAGCCAACACAAAATACTACCGTGGGATAAAAAGGAGAGAAGACACTGCCGGAACGAGACAGCAGAGCTTGTGACACCTGCAAACAATTAATTCAAAGCAGAAGCAAGAGCAAAGATCATTCTGGATTCCAGTCCGACTCCTTGCAAGGGCCGAGGCCAGGTTTCCAAATTCTTTGCAGACTGTCTGGCAGCCCCTGCTTCAAGTCCCGCTGACCTGACAGAACCGCAGGACGAGGCCTGAAACAGGGCAGGCGGCATTCAGGGAAAAGAAGGGAAAGACAAGGATGATGAGAAACAGGGCACTTTCGGAGCCTCATTTTCTCATTAACGTTACTGTGCATTCAGTTCCCCTGTTGAAAGGGGAAAAAAGTTTTCCATGGAGAGTCTAGGGCAATTCCACGTAATATTTCACTCTGCAGCCCCCTTTTCTTGCCCACTACCTCAGCAGCTGTGAAGCACTATCCTCCCCGTCAGCCCTGGGGCACTTCTAGCCCAGCATCAGCTCAGAGTGCTCCTCCCTCAGCTCCTTCTCCTCCCACCCCACCCCTAAGCTGTCACCTGGACACGTTTCCGTTCAGGTGAAAGCCCCGGGAGAAATAGTTTCTAGACGGCGAACAATGGAAAGTTCGAGGAGGACCAGAGACCCCTTGATCTGCGAGAATGAGCTGCGGGACAGAGTGAACAGAGGAGAGAAAGCCAGGAAGCGAGCTCCAAAGCATACATCTAACTTGACCCGTCTGAGGGTTCTAAAACCCTGCTCAGCACCGAGCCTGAGAACCACTTTCCAAAAGCTCCCGCGTCCCACTGGCCACTGCACTGGACAAACTGATTATCCTCAGCTCCAAGGCAAGACAGAAGCTTAATCAGGTCAGCAGCATTTGATCTGAAAATAAGTACCTTCTTTTGACACTCCACGGATTATAGGAATTATGCCTGGTAAAGCCACCTATACCACCAACATGTCAAAGGATATTCAGGGATATTCAGCTGAGAGGAATAATTACAGAGTCAAATGCTATCAAACCCACAAAATGAAAGCAAGCCCACCCATCACTCCAGAAGCCAAAGCCTTGAAGTTGATGTGACAGTGGAAAAAACCCAGCCAATTCCTACGATTTGCCCTGCCTCCCTCCTTCCATGGAGTCTATACCGGTGGAGGGCAGGGGATGGTAAAGCTGGGGCTCTGCCCGGCCTTCTCCGATGGGTACAGATGCTGTGGTTTGAAGTCCCTTCCATGTTTTCTGAAAGCCATTGCTTCCAGCTAAAATTTTCCACTCCTGGACTCGACCCAAAGGTGAGTTTATTTTGGAAAGTCTGAGCCAAATTTTTCTGCAACTAGAGCTTTAGGCAGGTGAAATCAAGGTTGCCGCTTCCCCCCACATGAAATTATGTCCTCGGAGCACAACAATAGTTCAGGTCCCTCGGGTTCCATGGAACCAGTCTCCACAGATCCAGGGGCAACATCTGCATGAAAGGTGGTGTGAAAAATTATGCTTCCAAAAATGATACTGAATGAGGAACTCAAATTTAATTTTGATATATCCAAATAGCGATGACAGGGAGTTACAGGGCAATGGTCAGCTTCAGATTTCTCAAAATACTTGACCCCCACGTCTCATCTGTGCTACACAGCTGCCATGGGGATAGGAGGGGGCCTTCCACGTTCTCATCTGACATATGGTAAATGGGAGCAAAGGAGAGGCCAAGGACACCCTATGGACACATTATATGATAGTTGGTCAGGTCAAGACCTACCCTCTTGACCGCTGGTCGTCTTCGGCCAAATTTTATAGATTTTAATAGCAAGTACAGGAGCTACAACAGAATCTTAAAATATGGCACTGAACCACGTTATCAAAGCTTTTTATCTTTGATAAAATCTCGCTTGCTATCTTGACAAATTCCAGGGACAAGGAAGACACCGGCATTTGCCAGGCATCCACCCACGCCAGACACCACACCAGGCATTGCCCTCGCACAAAACTGCTACAAAAGTGCTCTGGCGATGCCCTTTCTTCCGAGTAGGGAGGCGAGAGACCCAGATTGGCAGGGTTAGTACTGGGGGTCGAGTGGGTCTGCTGGCAGAGGCCAGGGCACCACACCAGAGTGCCAAGGCTCAGGAAAATGCAAGGAGCCCAGGTCACATTTTGTACAGGAAAGTCATTTTAGGATTTGCTAACAAAAAGCAAAACTAAAGGCTTACCCCTCCTTTCCTGTCCCCCTCCAACGGCCCCATCTCTGAAAAGGGAAAGGACATTGTCCAAAGGTATGGAATATTCAAGGGATGGGGTAAAGAATCTACAAACCAGAAAAACAGCCCCTATAGAGTAAGCCAGTAGTGACCTTTAGATATACTGCTCTGAAGAGGCACATATAGACTTTTTCCCCTATGTTTAATCCTAAAAACAATGAAAGAAATTAAGTGGAGGTAAAATGCTAATAACTTCAAACACTACACACTACCCCCTGCCATGACTTCCCTGGACTTTTTCTATGCAGGTATGTATCACCCTTGGGTCTCTGCACCACGTAAATGCTCAGTGAATGGTGGATTGTTGGATGGATGGATGGATGGATGGATGGATGGATGGATGGATAGATGGGCAGAAAAATAATAATGTTTTCAGTAATAATGCCTCCTAATCTAGATGGAATTCAAATCTGCACTATTCCAATCATTTCATATTTGGAGACATATTTGTCATTTTAATACTTGTAATATAAAACAAGCTATTTGAGCTTTATTCTTCTGTGAGCATATGTACGAAAGAATATGAATGTTTTGTTGCAAGTGAACAGACTGCCTCGTTGACGATAGTTTTCCCAAAAAATGTGACAGAAGCCCAATTATTGTCTCTTTAAAAACAAAGCAAAATAAGTGTTCTAGGAAAGAATTTTTACAAGAACAAGTGGAGCTTTCTACTTATGACAATAAAAGAAAATCCAAAGAGGAATCTCTTCTATGAATGGATGGCCTTTGTCCTTCTAGTAGAAGGTACTCTGGGGATTCCAAATAAAATGCCTCTGCCCTCCAGGAGCCTCTCATCGAGTTGTGTATTTCTGGGCTAGAGAATAAAACTTAATGGAAAGGACATAGCACCGTGGTCTCAAACTCAGATAGAGGGGTACATAAAAGTCACCAGGAATGCTAAAATAATTACACAGAAGCTGAGGCCCAACACATTCCACCTTTATTAGGGCAGCTAAATTGTAAGATTTGTAGTTAAAATAAGGACGAATTTCCTAAAAAAAATTTTTTTAAAAAAAGCAAAACCTAAAAGCCCCTTCTAGCTCCTTCTACACTCAGTGTAAGGTTTTTGAACAGCTCCTTTGAGGGTATTGTCCAAGGGGCGATGAGGACAGGGATTGGGACAGAAGAGACAGTCCTTGCCCTGCCTCAACCAGAGGAGTTCCTTAGGTTTACTTTATGTGCTAGGGTTCCCCTAGAGCTTTCTTTAGAAAAAGAAAAGGGGAGGGGATTTCCTACTACTAAAAAATATTAATAATTTGGATACCACTCTTGTAGAACATTGGCTAAAGCTCATTCAAGTCCAGATGCTTTAAATAGTCAAGATACGGAAACAACCTACGTAACTGTCAAAGGATATGGATTTTTAAAATATCTATAGAGACTATTACTCAGACATAACAAAGAAGGAAATCCTGCCATTTGTGATGACACGGAAGAACTTGGCAAAATTATGCTAAGTGCGTTAAGCCAGACAGAGAACGACAAATACTGTACGATCTCATTCATCTGTGGAATCTAAAGAAGTCCAACTCATAGAACCAGGGAGTAGAGCCATGGCTACCAGGGGCATGAGGGAAATGGGAATATGTCGGTCAAAGTGTACAAATTTCCAGTTTTAAGATAAATGAGTTCTGGGAATCCAATGTACAGCATGGTGATTACAGTTAATATTGTACTTGATATATGCTGAGAGAGTAGCCCTTAAGTGTTCTCGCTGCAAAAGAAAGAAAAAAAAAAAAGGTGGGCATGAGAACTGATGGGTGTGTTTATGACCTTGATTGTGGGAATCCACTGTGATCACAAAGTCTACGTATATTAAATCATTAAATCACACACTTAAAAAAATCACATTGTACAGTTAAATATCTATATTTCTCCTCAACTGTACCTCAACAGAACTGGAAAAAAATGAACTAGGTCGCAGAGATCAGCCTTCAGGAGGCATGAATCCCTCAGCTCAAGGTAAACACATTCAACAAACTGCCTGTGATCACCACTAAAGAGGCAGGCTTTATATCCCATTCTTAACAGATGAGGAAACTGACATTGAGAAAAGGTAAAGAACTTGTCTAACAGCGGGGACTAGAACGCCAGGCCATGACACACCAAAGCCTCGTCATCACCAAAGCGTCCTTGCTGGTTGCTAAACCAGGCTGATCTCCACTTTCCTGCTTCAGCATGTAACTCCCCATTTCAGATTCACTCTTTGTATTTGGTTTCACGTTTTGTATCTGCGAGGTGATTCCTAAATTTCAGATACTAAGGGAGAAAGGAGGAAAGAATCTAGACTCATCAATGTCTCTGAGAATCCAGATGCTTTTTTAAAACACCAATGTAAAAGGTGTTTTATGTTGTTTATTAGCCTGGAATTTAAGTGGGAATGGAAAGCAGCCTGGACCAATAGGAAAAATTCTGCCTTCACCTGTGGTCATACCAGGGTTACCCACTAGGTGGGCAAAACTTGCTTTCTTCACTGCTTTAGCCCTTCTAGAATGCCCTCTTCTGTGCTTCAAGCCTTTATTACCCTGGTAGGCTCTGTGCTCTCCCCTCTCCAGACAAAAACTGCACCCCCAAAAGATCTGGGGATCAGTCATTTACCTGTTAGTGAATTTGCAGGTCTCAGTGCACCAGCATTTTTTTTTTAAGATTTATTTATTTATTTATTTATTTATTTATTTATTTATTAATTTGAGAAAAGGGGAGAGGGAGAGAGAAACTTCAGCAGACTCCACGCTGAGCATGGAGCCCGGCCCAGTGCACAGAGCCTGAGGCAGGGCTTGACCTCACGACCCTGAGATCACGACCTGAGCTGAAACCAAGAGTCAGACACTTAACAGACTGAGCCCCCCAGAAGCCCCTGCAGCTGCATTTTAAAGCTGTCCTCTGATAAAGGGCTGGAGTTCTCATCCATAGGTGGACTGATGGGGGCATTTTTTTTTTTCTAGCATGAGGGCATAAGCGATTCTCTAGAGATCTTCAACACGACCCTTCCTTCCTCACTGTCTTGGTTCCCTAGGGCTGCTAGAACAAACCACCACGAATGGGGTGGTTTAAGGCAACTGAAATGTATTCTTTTGCAGCCCCAGGGGCTGGGAGTCTGACATCGAGGTGTGGGTGGTGCCGCGCTCTCTCCAAAGCCTTGTGGCTACTTATCTGCAATCCCTGCCTCCATCCTCATGTGGCCTTCTTCTCCCCGTGTCTTTGAGTCCAAATTTCCCCTTTTTATATGTCTGCCAATCGTACTGGATTGGAGCCCACCCTAATGACCTCAGTATAAATCGATGACATCTGCGAAGACCTTCCTTCCAAATAAGGTCATCGTCTGAGACTCTGGGAATGAGGACAGCAACACAGCTTTACCGTAGGGGAGGGGGGCACATAATTCAACTCATAACACCCACCTATGAGATGACCTCAAGGTCCGACAAGGTCCTGGGCAAAGCAAAGTTCGGTCTCATTTCCTAGATTATTCTCAGTCAAGCAGAAGCACCGGCTCGAATATCTTAAAAGAAATGTCTTCCATCACAGTTGACACAGCCGTGTCCTCTGCCTCAGAACTCTTCTCTCCCTTCTTTACCCAACTACGCCTTTTCCTCCTTTACATCTTGGCTCATGCATCCCGACCCCAAGGAGCCTTCCCGGGGCACCCAGACCAGGTCAACCCATTTCGGGATCTCTGTACCATCTCTCTCTCTCCCCCTCATTGCCCTCATCAACGTTGAAATTTTCCATTTGTTTCAGGATTATTTGACAGACATCTCTCTCAGCCACCAGCCTGAGAGCCCCCACGTGGCGAGGACCCCTCTGCTCTGTTCACAGCTGTATCCCCAACGCTTAGCATAGCCCCTGGCTCTCAGGTGGGGCTCAGAGCTTTGCCCTCTCTTCCTTGGAGAGAAAACTCAGGTAACCATTCTATACTCAGCCCCAAGCATCCTGGTTAGTTAAGTGCAGTCACTAACCTTGGGACCTGTACCTTCCACCTTCCTAGGCTGCGCCCAGCCACCGCCTCCCCACTACAGCCCAGCCTGTGGCTAGCAACTCTGAGAACCAGAGAGCCATCACCCAGCTCCCCCTTAAACTACTCCCGCTCCCTCTCCGCCACATCCAGCCCTTATCAGTGTGGGAAACAGGTGTCTCTCCTCCCACCAGACACAAGAGGCGACATTCGCACTAGAGCTTTCCAGGGTCCTAAGGGGTGCTTTCATTTCACCCCTTCCTTGGCAGCTGGCAACACCAACACAGCCTCCTCGAAGCCACTATGTCCTGAGGAGTCAATTTCATACTTTTAACAACCTCTGCTTCTGAAATCCTCCAGGACCACAAAACAACAGGGCAGGCTTCCTTGGGATCAGCTTTAAAGAATCACGGCTGCTAAAACAAGTTTGGCCTGTGTATAGATAAGGACAACTGATAGATAAGGACAGCGGAGTCACGTCTACAGCTACCCAGCATGAGGACTGGCCCCTTACCCCCAACCAACAGCCCCTCCAACCAAGGGGCTCTGGGTGGCGCCACCAAGGAAGGCCATCTGGCCACTCCTTCACCTCGCAACTCCTGATAACTCACGCACCTCCTCAGCTAGCCAACCTTAACTGAGTTCTTACAGTGGCAATGGAACAGTCTAAGACCCTGGAAATGACAGAACAGGAAGAAAGAGGCCCATTTTGTTCCTACACTCCAGCATCTGAACCCTGGAGGGACACAGCCAAGAAATCAAATGAGAAGGCAGCAGGCGGGGTAAATGCCCCAGCAGAGGTGAATACAAACAGGCTGCAGGGGGAGTGACATCTCTGGGGAGTGGCACCTCTGCCCGTGAAGGCCGGGAAGACAGGGAGGAAGACGGGCGGACGTGGGGGGCATGAGGCAGGGCTTCCAAGCAGAGGAAAAGAAAAATACGTTATGGGAACAGCAAACCACACCATTTGCCTGCGGTGTAGGGTGTCCAGTAGAAATAGAAACTGATGAAGCTAAAATGATAAAACCAGGGGCCACTTTATAAAGGGTCTTGTAATGAGCTGACAAGGCATAATTTGTTACCACTCTCTCTTTTTTTTTAAGATTTTATTTATTTATTTGTCAGAGAAAGACACAGCGAGAGAGGGAACACAAGCAGGGGGAGTGGGAGAGGGAGAAGCAGGCTTCCCACCGAGCAGAGAGCCTGATGCGAGGCTCGATCCCAGGAGCCTGGGATCATGACCTGAGCCGAAGGCAGACGCCCAACGACTGAGCCACCCAGGCGCCCCTTGTTGCCACTCTCTTGGTGGTACGTTCAGTTCGGCCCTCATACTAATGGTGAATTCTTAAGATCATGGTGGTAAATTCTCTCAAAGGGGGTGTAAGCACATACGCGTCCCCATGTGATGCCTGTTCTGATCACTTCTACACACACACCAGACCCTAAGAAACCCAGACCACTCGCACCCATGAGCCTGCCCTCGGTCACCCTCGGGGCTCTCTCAGATTGGTTGTTTTTCCAGATGGGTTCCTAGGATACATGCATTCGCAATCATGCCCAGATACGAGAATGTGGATTTGAAAAACTGAACCTCATCCCCATTTCCTGCTTACATTGCTGACCTCCTTCCCCCCTTCTTCCTCTCCTCTTCCTTTCTTTCTTCCTTTAGAATCTTTTTTTTTTTTTCCTGTGCTCACTGCTGTTTGCAACAGCTGCAGAACTTCACATATCTGGGAAGTCCATTAACTTGATGTTTACTGAGCTCCACATCATTAGCAGAGATGCTGAGCAAAAGCAAGCCTCTCAGCCCCGCCCCCACTCCCAGGGAGCCAGGGCCCCTCATGTAACTGGGGACACTCCCTCCAAATCGCCCCTCCCTTTCACTCCCCCCCACCGGAGATTTATGTTTTCTATCAAGCCAGATTACATTAACTTTACTACAATAAGATTCTAAATATGATTTGGGATTCTGCTAGGAAAAGATTCCATCAAATTCACCTACCAGTGATGTGGACAGTTTAACGTACATCTAGGTAATCATACACAAAATCCTATATTCACCACTGGCCCAGAAGCTTGCCCACAAAATATCTGTACTGGCTCCTCCGAGAAAGCTTGCCAGGAATTGGGGTGGTCAGCTGAGCTGTTCTGACCATTCAGTCTGGACCCCCAAAGGAAGGGTGGGGCTCTGAGTCAGGAAGCTCCTGGGAATGGAGGCAGGTTAGGACCTTGGGCCTCCAGGTGAAGCTGGCCCCTGTCGGAAGCCCGCTAAGGTGTGAGGTAGCCAGGTCTAGAGTGAAAAAGAGGGGCTGCAGATGGTGTGGGCCGGGGCACACGGAGTTAAGAGCAGAAGCCTATTCTACGTCGTCCCCTCACTTCTTTGCTTTTTTGGGAGGTTCTGCTTGCCATTTCTACTCTGGTTTTGTTTTACTTAATTTTTTTTTTTTTTTTTTTTTAGATTTTTTATTTATTCATCTGAGATGCAGAGATACAGAGAGAGAGAGAGAGAGAGAGAGAGCATGAGCCGGGAGAGAGGCAGAGGGAGAGGGAGAAGCAGGCTCCTCGCTGAGCCAGGAGCCCGATGTGGAGCTCGATCCCAGGACCCTGGGATCATGACCTGAGCCGAAGGCAGACGCTTAACCATCTGAGCCACCCAGGCGCCCCCTTAATTTTTGACAGTAAAAGTCCATATCTGTCCTGGTTAAATGAAGGAGAAAATGGATTTTCACCCATATTTTGGCCAAGACCAATAGAGAATCAGAGCACCATTAGGGGGTACAAAGGCAATAATGTCAGCCAGACCAGTTCTCTAGAGCTCCAAAACAAAACCCCTCAGGACCAGAACCAAGCAGAATGTGGGCAGCCAGGAGGACAGGCTAAGGCCAGAAAGGAGCACCCCCTCCTCCCCTCTCAGGCTCTCCCAGATAGAGCGTTGGCTTTGAAATGAGAAATCACTTGTCAGCTACATCAGAGCATCTCACTTCATATGGAGGCATCTTCCTAAGTATAAGACAAAAATCCATCTGTGATCTTGCTATCATCCCCAGTGTCACCACGGACATGAATGGAAGAGTGGTCACTAAAGGGTGTGCCTTCAGCTCTGCACCAAACATAGCCCTTTGCAGCAAGTAAAGAAACCAAGGCAGACAGGAGGCCCTTGAATAAAAAGGAAGCGAGGTTTGGGGTCCCAGCAAGAAGGGATCTGTGACTAGGGTGGTGTGGTCGCATGATCGGCCATGGGCCTGAGCAGTGTCCTGAGCAATCATTTCTTGGTCCTCACTGCACAGCCAAGGGTACTAGAGCTTTTTCAAGCTCCGTGATGAGCCTAGTAATCTAACAAAAGGCCTGATGCTGGAACAAAAGGCCACACGGTGTCCAAATTTCACGGTGTGGAACAATCTGACAGTCGGCCTTCTCAGCTTTCTGGGAGAAGATTCTAGTTGGGTGGGAAAACTGAGGTCCGGGTCCTCAGGTCTCTGCTCACTTCCACCCCCTCTTAGCAGCTTCCTGGCAGGCCTTTTGCTTATTTCCGGAAGCCCTCGATTTTTCAAAGAAAATGGAAAGATGATGCCAAGTGGCCCCACGTCTTCTCTCCCTAGGAGCCGTGAGAAGGTGCAACACAGTTAGGGAAGGACAATAGCCAACCCAAGATGCGAAATGGGGAAATAAGAGAAGCCAACAGGAGAGCAAAGACACACAAAGCATCTCAAGCGAAATTCGAAATTCGAGGGCAAGGAGGGCATGGGTGCACTCCACTGCCTCCTGCCAAAATTCCCACAGGGATCTGGAACAGCAAAGGTGTGTCTCTTGCGGCCCCAGCAAATCTATTGTGAGCAACTGTAGCTGATATTTAACAGGGCGCCAGAAAGCCTTTTTCATAATTTGAAAAAAAGTAATTATTTTAACCACTGATGTGTATAATAAACTCTTGTCAGCCTGACGTTAAAATCTGTTTCTTTTCTCTGCTCCCCACCTGCTTCCCCACAAAGCCCTTACTTCCCACAAGTATGGCACATGTTCCGTTACTGTGATTTTAGGATTTCTTCAAGGAGCTCTGTGATGGGCAGTTATTTTGTTAAGTGGAGGGGCATCTATCTAATACGTACACCGTCTCCCCTGCAGGAAAGGAGAGAGGGACTGGAAGGCACTCAGCCTCTCAACCTCCAGCTGGGACTGTGTTCTCTTCCGTGAGTGGTGATGGTTTCAGAAAACTCATTGTGGATTTAGGGAAAATCTGAAGAGGAATGTTATCAAGGTCCTTCAAGGCTAAGGAGAAGAGACCAATGTGGAGGGAAAAAGAAAAGAAGAAAAAAACTGAAAAACAGGTTTTTCCTCTCAAAGAGGTACAATAATCCACATTCTGCACAGTTTGGAGGAATAAACCCAAGCTCCTGGGGGAAGTTTCCTGACAGAAAGAGGAACAACAGGAAGGAAGAGCTGCCCTCCCTGTATGTGAGTTCCACCAGGGCAGGGAACACAGCCAATGCATCTTGCATGAGGCGGTTAGCTCTTCACAGCCAAGCTGAAGTAGAAAGGAGAGTCCAGCCTCTTGCTGAAACACTGGCTTCCTCGTGTGACTCCTGTAATTTTCAGTAGCTCCCAGTCTCTCTCAGAAAGAAAGTCTACACTCCTCAGCCTTATACTCAAAGCCTCCACAGTCCAGATTCATCCTACCTGATCACAGGCCACTCCTAGATACAACCCCTCTAGACTTGGCCAATCTTCTCATTGTCTCATGGACACGCCACATTGAGGCCAACGTGTTAGCCGTCAACCCGAGAGGCTTCTGCATGTCTTACCTATCTACGTAAACCAACCACCCGTCATTCAGAGTCCCACTCCTATCTTCCACGAAGCCCTTCTCAACCACTCTAGCCAATACTGCCCTTGCCTTGCCTTTCTGAACCACAAAACTAGCACACATGCATTTCTCAGAGAACTTTGCTCTCTTCCACTAGTGTGGAATAGGGTCTCAGTCCCATGTAAGTCCCACGAAAGCAGGAGGCCCGTCCCTCTTGCATCTATTTGCACTTAGCATGGAGCTAGACTGACTGATGCCTTTGATACCTAAGGAGTATGGCAAAGGGCTGTGGTCACACACTCCAGGCTTCCTGACCCCGTCCTCACTCTCCTGCCCCATTCTCCAGATCCAGATCCAGTTCTCTAGAATGCCGATCTAGAGAGAGGTAGGAAAGAAGGGAAGAACAGAGTTGTTTTTCTGGATGGTGACAGAGGGAAAACAGTTGTTATTTCCAGGTCAGGGTCCTATGGCACTTTTGTTTCCCAGATGAGACATTTTACTTGGCATTAGTTCTTGGGTCAGAGAAAGCCTATCTGGGATGTAAAAGTGATCCTTTAGTTTTGGAAACAGCCATAAAATGAAAAAGCTGGACAATCTCTGGAGAAGCTACTGGAGCTGGGGTGGGAGCCCTCCATCTCCATGCTAGTAGGGTACAGAAGAGGTCAATAATCACAAAGTTCTCTGTCCGTGGGTCAACGAGCTCATTCTCCAGTCTTCCGGGAGGGCGGTGGACCCCAACACATGAGTGATTCTCATGGATTAAAAATCTCCATAAGATTCAGACTTTATGCACACAATGACTCACTTATATTTTTCTCAAAATTCCCTGGAGAGTCTCAGTTAAACTTCTCTCCCTGCGAGCGATCCACAGCCTGCCACCTTTACTAAAACTTAGTCCATCAAGTAATTATCCTCTCTTTGCTATCTTCCTAACTATTCCTTCTTTTTGCTCTGCTTCCCCAGGTTACCGCCCCACCACCATCTCTCTTGTCCCTGCCATGAAGTGACAGTCTACCCTTCTCCCCTTTTCAAGAGTGACAGACTATTCTTTGCTGCCTTACTTCTACATCTCCCGCTCATCCCCTTCATCTCTTGCAATTTGGATTCTGCCACCAATCGCTTCGTGGAAAGGGTTTTCTCACAATCAGCCTCTCAGACGGAACATCAGCTGTCAGTTCTGACAGCCTCCTTATTTTCCATTCTCCTCAGCTAACTCAAAGGAGGACGCAGCCCTGCTGGGTGTACCGCCTCGACTCTCTCCCCACCACCCTCTCCTATCCCTGTCCATCCCCTGGGCTTGCCCCAAGATTTGGGCCTTGCTTTGCTTCCCCCTGGGGCCTCTGGCCACTCTCAGGTCCACTTCACCTGCTCCCATGATTTCAACTACCACATGGACATTGTTGCCTCCAACCCAGACCTCTCCACCAGAATGCCAATCTCAAGTTTCTAAATTTGTGCCGAACATCTGCACCTGGGAGCTAGAGTTACCTCAAACTCCACACACTGACAAGCAAATGTATTACCTCCCTTTCAAATGTGCTTTCCTACTGAGCTCCCCCGCCCTGTCTGAAGGCATCACCATCCTCCCAGCCCACCCCACCCCACCAGAAGTCCTCTGACCGTCTCCCCCCTCCTCATCCACTGCCACCTTCCATCAACTCCCCGCCCCTACCCCTCTCCTCATGATCTCTCCCTGACTTCCCATCATTTCCAAATTCAGGCCCTCCTGAGCCCTCCTGGCCTCAGCGGAATCTCTCAACTGGTCTCCAGTCTCCAGATCTCTAATCCTTCCCTCCTATTACTGCCAGAAGCATCTTTCTTCCCAGGTCTGCCCAAGCGTGCTTTCATAACTTTGCTCACACTCAGCTTGAGATGCCCTTCACTGCCCACTTCTCTGTAACTAAAATCCACCCATCCTTCAAGGACACACCAGGGAATACTGTACAGAGCCTTTATAACTTAGCAATTCTGCATCACACTAGAGATGTGTCTTTGGTGTTGGCTGGGGTGTATGTGTGTATGTGTGTGCACGCCCGTGTGTGTGTGTGTGTGTGTGTGTGTGTGTGTGTGTGTTCCCCCCAGGACTTCTCCCCAGCCCAGCAGCACTCAGGTCTCTTTTAGCACTGATTTCACCATCCTTTCCTATCAGCTTCCCCCACTGAACTGGAAGCTTCCTGAGGACAGGTGGGATTATGGAGTGAATTGCACTTCCCAAAAAGCTGTGTCCAAGTCCTACATCCCTGTGAATGTGACTTTATTTGGAAACAGGGCCTTTGTGGAGACAATCAAGATGAGATCATCAGGGTGGGCCCCAGTCCAGTGACTGGCTGTCCTTAGAAGAGAGAAGACAGAGTGGGAAGGAAGACAGCCATGTAAAGGCAGGGCTGAAGCCTGGAGTTCTGCTGACACAAGACAAGGAGCGCCTGGGGCTACCAGAAGCTGGAAGAGACCAGGAAGGATTCCCCTCCAGGTTTCACAGGGAGTGTGGCCCTGCCAACACCTCGATCTGGGACTTGTAGCTTCCAGAACTGTGAGAGGATAAATTCTGTGGTGCTTCTGCATAGCAGCCCTAGGAAACTAAGACACGCGGGCATCATGTCTTGATTCCTCTTTGTGAACCCTCAGTATGCACGGACTTCTTGAAACTCGTTAACTTCTTGGTGAATTCGTGAACAAAAATGAACCATGCACACCAAAGAACTTTTACAATGAGGGCAGATTAAAAAAAAAAAATCTGTTAGACTTAAATGTATATTCGTACTTAAACCATCATCTCCCAAGACGGGATTACTGATCTATAATCACAAGAACCTCAGATGTGCGTTTTGTGTCCAGAAAGAGAAAGAGATGGGCTGAGTGGAAGCCACCCTCTTCACCCAGCCTCCCTGCACCTCATGGAAACATTGGCAAAGCAGCTGGCCGGGCCTGCAGGTGTCCTCAGGAAAGTGAGGCCTTCCTCCGCTCAAAGCTGTGACCTTGTACTCATTAGCACGGGGCTCTGTTCCACTAAGCTAATGACCTCAAATAGCAGCCAGCAGAAATTAGATTCGCTAAAAGGGAGTGGGGAGAAGAGGCTGATAAAGACAGTATCTCTCTTCACACGCAAAGTGAAGCAGAGCATAATTATCACAATGTCAATGCTGACACCAAAATGCTTTCAATTCAACCAAGTGGACACTCACACCAAACGCCTTTTAGGAATGAACAGGGCCGGGGCGGGGGGGGGGGGGGGAGGGGGGGGGGTAGAAAAAAAGAGCCAGAAGGTGAGTCGTTCTCTTTTGTCTTTCTTGAACAAACACTGAAAACCAACACATTGGGGGCATTCCAGAAAAACCTCGGAGTGGAAAGAGGGGAAGCACTCTCCCAGTCTGTGTCACTCCGTCTGTCTGTTGCTACCAGCATGGTGGCCATAAATACTACCTGTGAGTCACAGTGAAAATCCACAGTCTCTCTGGAGACAAAGTACAGCAGTGGCAGGTGCACCTAGCCCCGTTCCTGTGAGGAAATCACAACTTGGGGGTAGCAAAACTACTATCCCTGCCACAGAAATGCAAATGGTCCCTTCTTCCCTGAACAGGTTGGAAAGGAGAACTGTGTAGTCTGGCCACTGCCGGACACGGCTCACTGGTTTCCAGAGGCCCCTGCTCCAGCCTGGTTCCAGCCTTTAGATCCTCAATCCTAAAACCTTGGTGCTGTCGATGTGTGCGATTTTAAATAAAATGAATACTAAGCCATAAGGGAAAGAAGTCCAATAAATGTCATGATGGCCATTCTGAAGCTTTTTGGTAAATATGAAACATAAAATTCTTTCCAAAATAAATCTGCAGGGCCCCTGCTTTGCGGGTGCTCCGTCAGCCTTGGGCGGCCAAGCGTGACCCACGGTGCTACTCCATTGCTCCTCAGTGGCGAGAGCCCTGGGAGGTCCCCGATCGCCTGTCCTTTGCCCCCACTCCACACCCCCCCGGAGAGTGTGTTAGTCTCGTCACTGATCACTACACACAGAGGGACAATCACTCCTGCCCTCACCTCCCTGATTCTCTTCACTCCCTTACTGCAAGCTCCCATATACATGCTTAACCCTCTGTTTGAGGGATTCTTCCGCAGCCCCAGGGGTTTCTTTAAGTCTTTTTTAAAGGAATAATCTCTAAAACGTATGTATCTATCATTTCATTTTATTAGTTTTTGTATCTATCATTTTTTTTAATTTATTTATTTGAGATAGAGAGCCCGTGAGCAGGGGGGGGGGGCAGAGGGAGAAGCAGACTCCCCGCTG